TCTTCTTCTTCTTCTTCTTCTTCTTCTTCTTCTTCTTCTTCTTCTTCCTTCTTCCTTCCTTCCTTCTTCTTCTTCTTCTTCTTCTTCTTCTTCTTCTTCTTCTTCTTCTGTTTCCTCCATTTGTTGTTGTATTTGCTGATAAGTAGCAAGCGCCATTTCTAAAAAGTGAAAGATATCTCTCAAAGAGTCCTTTCTTTCTTTCTTTCTTTGTTTTTCCATATTCCTTTCTTAATTCATCAATAGAGCCATTGTAAACCTTTCTTCTTCTTTTTTCCCCCTCTTCTTCTTCTTAGAACAACCAAGATGTTTCAAAACTTAAAAAACAGTTCCCCAAAGTCATCAAGCATCCAAACAGAGCAGAAAGTTCTTCCCTTTACACTTTCTCTTCCTGGGGTAATATCAGTTAAGAAAGAAAAAAAGAGCCCAGTCTGTACTTTAAAGCCTTATTGCAATTAGCTTCTAGTCTCAAAATCTCCAAGGCATCTCCTCCAACAAGATCTTTATACAGGTTTTAGTCATCTCCCTTCCCACTTATAACAAAGAGCTTTAAATTTTACCTTCTTTAGAAAAGCAGATTTTTCAATGTCCCTTTGTTAAGTCCGTAGGGAAGGAAAGTAAACTTTCCCTTTCAGCACTATTCGCCGCTTTTAGAATCTCCTCTGGAAACAATGTATCATTCAAAAAAAAACAACAACGTAGTTTTCAGGATATTAGATATATCTTAAAGTCCCGGTAGCCAAAAAAACTTTCACTTTAAAACTTTCCAAACTTTCTCCTTCTTCCTCCTGCACATTCTTATCCAGTTGCCGGCTTCTTTGTGGCGGCCATTACTGACCGCCGCTCCACCGCCTTGAGAGAAGGGGGTTTTGCCGGGTGGGGAGGGGGTCTGCGACACCCCTATCCGGATCCCCCCTGTCTTCAGCTGCCTCTATGTGGCAGCCTTATCCTCCAGACCCGTCGGGATCGGAGGCACCAAGACGGCTAGCGCGACAGGGATCGCGAATCCCTGCCGCCACCGAACCCTGGCAAACCGGAAGTCTAGAGAAATAAAGAGAAATAATGAGTAGACTAAAGAGAAATAATCTTTGCTAAAAGATATTTATGTGTTTATAAGGAATTGGGATAAATTAGAATTATGCTGTATAAAATAATCTTTTATCTGCCTTGTAAAAATTTACAATGGAAAGAGGTTTTATGTTTGTAATGTTTAATGATGTTTTGTTTGTCTTTAAAACTAATAAAATTTGTTTCAAAAAAAAATACTCAAAATATAGCAGGCACCTCCTAAACTGGGTTTCTTAGGACCAATTATGTCAGCAAAAACAACCTCTAAAGGTTCTTTGGTCTTAAACCCATTAAGTCTGTTTGCTGGAGTAACCTTGCTCTTCTCTTGGCTACAGGCATTATTTAAAATACTTGCTACAGGGTTTCAATTTTACTCCCTCTGACAATTCAACAGTTTGTTTTAACATTGTGAAATTAATGTGCCCCAGATGTCTATGCAGTAAATGTATACATTCATCATGTGGCTTAACATTGTTATAAACTGAGTTAGCCATCTTCAACTGGTCATCATGTATCACGTATAAATCATTTTCTAAAGTAGCAGTCACACTTTTACCCTCTTTCTCTATTATACATTTATCTCCCGTAAAGGTTACTACATAACCAAGATTAACTAAAGCCCTTACTGATAACAAATTAAATTTCAGTTTAGGTACATATAACATAGTTAAATGTTCGTTTATAAAAGAACAATATGCAATACCTTTACCAGAAGCCTTCATCTTCCATCCATTTGCAAATGATACATGTTGCTTACTCGTGGACATCTTTACAAACCTCTTTCTATCTTTAGTAATGCATTGCAATGCTCCACTATCAACAACCCACAAATCATGGTTTACAGTTGAATTGTTAGAGATAGCTAAACTAACATTCTTCTTGGCCTTCTGGTGATTACTAGTATTCTGTTGTTTTCCCTTCCTACAGAATCTAGCTATATGTCCCCTAGTCCCACAAGAAAAACATTTCCTAACAGTATAGGCAGTTGAAGACAAATCCTCTTCTTGTGGTGGTTCCTTCCTCAGTTGGTCCCTATCAAGCCGTCTTCTTGCTTCATCTAACAACCTTCCGCTTATGTCAGTCAATGTCAGTTCATCTCTGGGCAGGACTTCCAGTGAAGATACGTAATCATCATAACTTTCATCCAATGAGGAAAAAATGATATAAACTTGATGCAGCTCTAAAAATATCAGTTCCTTTTCATGTAGCTCTTGAAACGTCCTTTTCATGAAGTTTAAATGAGCTAACATATCTCCTCCTTTCAGAAGACGTGCTCTAAAGAGTTTATGTGTAAGATGTATGTGTGCACCTACACTGTCACGAACATAAATCCTCTTCAAATTCTCCCAACACCTAGCAGCAAACTCTTCTCTACGAATATGGACTAGCTGCTGGTCACTCAGTGTTAGTCCAATTATACAAAGAGCTCGTTCGTTGTTCTGTTTAAAGTCAGCAAGCTTCTTGGCATCATCCTCATTTTCTGGATCCCAAGCATTTACATCTGGTGGGTCTTGAACTACATTCCATAACCCTTCTCTACGCAGAAGTAGACTGCACTTCATAGACCAGGAAACATAGTTTGTTCCATCCAACCGGGTTGTCAGTGATAGACTTGTTGAAGTGTCTTGTGCCATCTTTACCAGGATAGTAACCCACAATTAAACAGTAAACAGCTGTCTGTGTACAGTACTGTGTATTCACACTAACTCTCAGTTATCTGAGCCTGGTATGGCCTGGGCCCATAACCAGTGTTGAGGTAATTCCCCGTTAGGAGAATGAGCACATACAGGGAGACGTAGTGAGAGTAGGGAAGAATAACATACACACAGCACACAGATACACTGTACAGTAAATGTAGGTTTTTTACTTTCAATAAACGTTTAAGCACAGTCCAAACAAGCAGTCCAAGTCATTCACAGGTAAGGCAGTCAGTTTTCAGTTCAGGGATAATCCAAATATCAAAGTCCAGTATCAAAAAACAGTTCAGTAACAGACTTACATCAACGATCAGTAACAGTCATTTAGGAGGAACGGCAACTCTCTCCAACAGAAGAAACAGAGATTCACTGAGACTCTAGTCTGAGACTAAACAACCCAGGTTTCTGGCTCCATCTTATGGCCATTTGCGGAACCACACCCAATTACAGATTTAGTATTCTCTTAAAGGCATAGTATTAAAATGTCCATCCTAGTTTATATATTTCCAACCCAAATAACTGTTAGGTGACTTACATTCCTAACACATATATGACAAAATGAAATTCAATGTAGAGAAAAGTAAAGTCCTACACTTAGGCAAGAAAAAACAAAAGTACACATATAGACTGGGTGAAACCAGGCTCAATAGCAGTAACTCTGAGAGGGACCTTAGAGTCTTAGTGGACAACCAGCTAAATACAAGCCAGCAGCGTGCAGTGGCAGCCAAAAAAGCTAATGCAATCCTAATTTGCATTAACAGAGGGATACAATCAAGATCAAGTGGGGTACTAATACCACTCTATAAAGCCTTAGTAAGACCACACCTAGAATACTGCATCCAGTTTTGGTCACCACATTATAAAAAAGATGTTGAGACTCTAGAAAAAGTACAGAGAAGAGCAACCAGGATGATTAGGGGACTGGAGGCTAAAACATATGAAGAACGGTTACAAGAACTGGGCATGGCTAGTCTAGTGAAGAGAAGTACCAGGGGAGACATGATAGCAGTCTTCCAATATTTGAGGGGCTGCCAGAGAGGAAGGGGTCAAGCTATTTTCTAAAGCACCTGAAGGCCACACAAGGAATAATGGATGGAAACAGAACAAGGAGAGATTTCATCTGGAAATAAGGAGAAACTTTCTGACAGTGAGAACAATCAACCAATGGAACAGCTTGCCCTCAGAAGTTGTGGGAGCGCCACCACTTGAGACTTTCAAGAAGAGATTGGACTCCCATCTGTCCGAAATGGTGTAGGGTCTCCCGCTTGGGTGGGGGGTTGGACTAGATGACCTACAAGGTCCCTTCCAACTCTGATTATCTGTTATCTGTTATTATTATCCAGCCCTTGCCAAGTTCCCACGAGAACTCAAGACTTTGAAAAGCCCACGGAGGAGGGAGGGAGCCAAGTTGGAGGGAGGAGTGATATAGGAGATGAGCACGCTGAGCCTGAGGGTGGGGTCAAACACATCAGTTTGGAGTCACTATGCTCCCAGGAGACCAAAGTCCAGCCCCCCATGAATTCTATTGACCTTTATCTAGCACTAATTTGGTTTGACCATTAGTAGATCAGATTGTTTGTAGGTTGCATGTAATATACTTTTAGTGCTTTGAACTCAACTCCTGTTCTTGGTTACTTGTGCCCAACTTCAGTCACATGACATCTCACTTTACAACATCACTTAAGTATGGAAATTCCAGTCCCAATTACCATTGTTAAGCAAGGACAAACAGAATATAACAGAATAGTGTGGTGGACGTTTAATAGGTTATTCATGTCACACAACTTCTAAATATTTAATGGTGGTTCAACATGAAACAGTTTTAGAAGCTTTATGAGGTTAAAAAAAAGCTCTTTGGTAAAGTATTTCATCTTTATATGAGGAAGCCTAAGATTCATTATGGGACTTTTAAGCTACCCTTGTGCCCAAGCACAAAGTAAGTCTTTAGCATTTACCCCATCAGTCCTGCTGCACAGGCTACGACTCCATCACTATGATCTTCATCTGCAGCAATATGGTCAATGAAAGACAAGATGAATTCTACTCTAGGTTGCACCAGCATCACATCCGCTGAAAAGGAAGCATAATTTAGTGTTATAGGATTTATGGGTTTATTTCTTCCTATCAATATCAATAATTCTGGAAGGTTTATCTTAGCATCCTGTTCAGTGATGTGCCTCATCTGAATCAGAGGCAACCTACAAAGATATTCTTTTTTTCTGGCATTGCCTCTATACCTTCCTTGTGCCTACTAGCTTATAACTGTTTTTAGTGCTTGTACAAAAACTGATCCACATGTCTACACAAGAAACACAGCAGTATTCGAGAGAGAAGGAAAATATAGCTTTGTGACTGACAACTCAAGCTTCTAATAACACTTAATTGTTTCACTAGGTTTTACTGATTAGTGTGCTAGAACAGAAGGGATTCAGGAATTTGTGGGACTATAGGAATAAAGCACTGGGGTTTGCTTACAAAACACAGTCCTTCTGCCTCTATTATCTATTCCACATTCATCACTCCTTGACCTATGGCAGTTCAGTTGAATTTAATGCAAGTTGAGGAAAAGAATCCTTTAATTTTAAAAAAATTGACACGTTCTAATCTTCTAAAGCTATCTGCCTAAAACTGTATACTGTATGCTGTTGTAATACAAATTGAAAAGGGCAAAATCCCACAGAAGTTAATCTTCCCAAATCTGAAAACTTTTGTTCACCCTCAAAATGTCTCACTATTCTAAAAATCTGATTTCTTAGACTGGACTGGGTACACACCAATCTATTCCCAAAATGTATATTTAAACAGGAAATATTACAACTGTGCAGAATGAACTCAGGAAGAGAGGTTCTAAATGGAAGCTTATACTGAAAGTAGTATTGGTGCATGCACCTGTTTCATTTTAAGTTGGGAAAGGGTTGTACTTTTTTGTAAAAATATATAAACAAAGGGCATCTGGTAACTTGTAAAAATAGGCCATTTATGTTAACTCCACCTCTGACAACCAAAAATACCCTGAAATATCATACAAGGAGAATGAAGAATACAACCACATTCTCTAAGGCAATAGCCCCAATCTAAAACCAAAGCAAATTAAGAGGCTTGCACTGACAATTTTCCATTATTATTAACAGGAGTGAGTAAACAATGACACACTGAATCTCATGCACAGAAGTTAATATTTGTGGTACTTGAGAAAATGAAAAAAGGGACTCACGATGTACATTCTCTTGATCTCCTTTCAGACCCTGAATGATGCCTGTGTATGCTTCCAGGCAGGTCTCTCGCAGTTCATTCAGGTAGTCTACCATATCATAATCAGACTAAGGCCAAACATAAAAAGGAGTTAGTTTGGGATTACTGTTCTAGCTAGCATCCATCCATCATCTCAAACATATGAGAGCCCCCAAACATTGTATACCTTATCAATGTGGGTTTGAGAAGCCTGCTGTAGAGTATTCAATACAACTTCTAAGTATTTTTTAAATTCTCCTCCAATTGCAAGAGCAATGTCTCCAAATACTGAGAGAATTTGTGGTTTAACAGACTGGTGCACATTTTCATTCTGTAAAGTCAAACTCTCATTTTATTCACAATAAGCAGTTTAGCTTTTAGAAATTACATTGTTAAATTGGATACTTAAATTTTATCAGACATTGTCCCCAAGGTGTTCAGGACTTTTCCCATTTTATATTAACAAAATTGAAAAGTATTTTAGTTCTCAGCATATTTCTCACTAATTCAGTAGGCCTCAATCTTCAAATACAGAGAGGACTATATATATCCCCAAGTGTCGGCAACCCAGTATTACCCATCATCATATTTCTACCAGATTTGCTGGTCACTAAAAGATTAGCCAACTTAATCAATTTGGTGAGCAATAGATGAAAAATACATTTTTAAAAAATAGGTCACATGTCATTATTAACTGGCACTCATTAGGTCTTAATAGAAATTATAATTTTCATAATTATATTTTCATAATTTCATACATAAATTAGAAGTATATATTCTATTTATACTGCAAGCAAGCCGTAATATCAATGTTTACACTTCTATGATTTTTTAGGTTTCTTTCAATGATAGATGTGCAATTTTCCTTTTGTTTTTAGACCATCAATTTACTCACCCCCAAATTTTCTAAAAGCAGCTGCATAACCTCATCACAAAATGGCAGAATGTTGGACTGCAAAGCCCGACATAAGTCACCCACTAGGCCCACTGCAGCCAGGCAGACCTGCCAAAACAAATATACCCACAGCACTTTCATGAGTCACTTTTTACCATACCTCAGGCACCAATCATTATTTCCTTGTCCTATTACAATACTAAACAAAGCCCTCAAGATAATTCCTCAACTGTGACAGCATGCTTCAAAGACATGTAGTGGGGTGTTATTTTTTTTTTAAGAATTGTTGAGAAAGTTTATACTAGAACAAAGAACAAAGTACAGTTAAGAAAAAAAATACAGGTAGTCCTCAACTTACGACCATTTCCTGACCAAAATTATGATGGCACTGAAAAAAGTGACACATAACCAGTCCACACATTTACAAATGTTGCAGCATCCCTGCACTCATGTGATCAAAATTTGGGTGCTTGGCAACCAGCATGTACTAACAATGGTTACAGCATCCCAGTCATGTGATCACCACTTGCGACCTTCCCAGGGGGCTTCCAACAAAGTTAACGGTGGAAGCTGGATTCACTTAATGACCATGGTGATTTGCTTAATGACTGCAGAAAAAGGTAAAACCAGGCATGACTCACTTAATGACTACATCACTTAGTAACAGAAGTTTTGGTCCCAAATATGGTCATAAGTCAAAAACTACCTGTAAACATGACTAAAAGCACTATGGAAAAACTTTTTAGTAATAACATTCTCCCCTTCTCTTCCATTTGTTTCCCCAACCAACAACCATGCCTAGTATTTGTACTTTACACTTAAGAAGATAACTAGCAATAACCTTCAAGGTTAAGTTCTTTCATGTGTTATTTTTGGTTGGTCTCATGCCTCTTTTTCTGGAAACAGTATTCCAAATCTTTAAATTTCCCTTGCTATGTGACGTACAGTATATAAGGGAGCCATTATTTATACTAAATTTGGTTAGACTTCTATTATGGATATATACTTTGTCATTGCTGCATAGTCTCCAATTCTGGTCTTCCAAACTTGTATGATTGGGAAAGTTTCTCTTTTCCAATTTTGTGTGTCAAATTTTATACCAATTTTCCGTTAAATTCCAACTTGAAACAATTTTTATTGTTTTTTTCCATCTCTTCCCATTGTTGTATTGTTGTACTTCGAGGTTTTGCATTCACTTCAACATATTTTTTCTATTTCCATGTCATATTTCAGTAACAATTCATATATATGTCCTAACAGGTAATCTTTATGTCTGTGTTTCAAATTGTGTCATCCTTCTCAATTCAAATTTTTTGTATATATATTTTATTTTATTTTGAAATATACATCAACAAAAATACATGAACAGTGTGGCATTTCAGCATCATTCATTTTGATACAAATAACAATGATAATATTTGTTACATTAGTCAAACTTATGTAATCCTAGAGTTAATACACGTTTGTATTAAGATATCCTTATTTAGTTCAGTGTTTCAATGTGCCATTCTAAAGCCAATCACATAATTTGAGCATACATAGTAACGGCATCTTTCAAACGCTAATCTTTCGATCTAGTTATTGCTTTTATTCTATTATATAAAAATGTGTATACTAATATTCCCCCTATTTCTTATTTCTACCTCTATTCTAGCTTTTAGTCAGGCCACCATTACTAGTCCTAGTGTTGATACACGTGTTTGTATTGCAATATTTCATTTAGTTGTTCAATGTTTCAATACGCCATTCTAATGCCAATCACCATATTATTTAAACATACAGCTGTGTGAAAAAGTCCTGCATGCTTTCAGTTTTAAGCTGCATTTACATGTTTAATCAACTTTTCACTCATAGAAACCACACAAAATTAGTACTTTGATGAAAATTTCTGTAGTCAGATTGAGATGCATAATTTTTATTAATATAACCAAAGTCTTTTTAAGGTTTTGAGTGAGTTTATGTGCTAAAACACAACTTGAATTTTTGAGAATGTTAGGATTGAAAGTAGCCAATCAGCAGCAAGCTTTGGCTGACCAATCAAATGCACAGAGGCTAAATCTATGAGCCAATCAATGTTGTCATACTCTCTGACTATAAATAGGCATGAAAAGCATCGAGAAATTTAATTTAGCCCTGGCTGCAGGCAAGGATGAAGGCCTTTGCTTTCACCAGTACTGAGCAGCGGCATCGCATCATTGTGCTTCATGAGGAGGGTTACTCCTGTACAGAAATAGCCAACAGAGTGGAATTCCATCACACCACAGTGAGCAGAGTGGTTAAAAAATACCAAATAACCGGTTCAGTTGATGACAGGGTCCACTCTGGAAGACCAAGAAAGTCGACAAAATGGCAAGATCAGGCTCTGCAATGCATTTCGATGGCTGACAGGAAGCTCACCTCACCTCAAGATTACAAGAATTTGGGGTAAAACGTGATGTAAAAGTGTGCACAAGCACAGTGCATCGCAGACTGCTTGCCAGAGGGCTCAAAAGCTGCAGGGCTCGAAGTAAACCTTTGCTCACAGACGCTCACCGCTCTCTTCGATGTGCGTGGGCCAAGACGTATGCCAAGTGGACCAACAAACAGTGGGCCAAGGCCATCTTCAGTGATGAAATCAATTTCTACTTGACTGGGAATCAGTGCAATAAGTATGTCAGAAGATTTCCAACTGAAGAATTTAGGCCATACTGCCTGAATCTATCTGTGAAGCATCCATTGCACGTGATGATCTGGGGCTGTATCGCTGCTTCTGGTATTGGTCAGATACAAATCGTGCAGGGAATCATGAATTCCAAGCAGTATGTTGAAGTCCTGGAAAAGACCATGCTTCCTTCAGCTCAGCAACTTGTAGGGAAGGACTTTTACTTCCAGGATGACAACACTCCTTGACATCAAGCCAAGTCCATCCAGCAGTGGATGAAGAAGCATGGTGTTCGACTCCTGGATTGGCCAGTTCAGAGCCCGGATTTGAACCCAATTGAGAACTTGTGGGCAAGATTGGTTACGAAATAAGCAAGAAGCATCCAAAGACCAAGCAGGAGCTGATTGAATCCATTATTGCAGCCTGGTACCACATTGTCACCAAAGATCACATGCAAAGGCTTATACAGTCTATGCTGAAGCGATGCCGCCTGGTGATAAGCAAAATAAGGGCTGGCCAATTTCATATTAGTAACCATGTTTGGTTATCTAAACGGTCCTTTTCAGGGCCACAAACAATAAAAATGTTAACAAAACACTAGCACCGGCCTTAGTAATTGCAACACATATGCCACTGGGTATGTATCAGTTAATCTGTTTTCATAGTCATTGTAAGCATGCATTGTCAGCATGCAAGAAAATTCACAATCCACATCCAAACAGCACCAAATTGCAAAAAGCTTATGCTTTTCACTTAAAAACCACCAGTATTTATTTAAATATAACAATATTTGCATAGCAGTTAGCATAAAATATCATAAAATCAATGGCCTATCCAAAAAAATGTCTTAAACCGTAAAACCGTAAACCATGCAGGACTTTTTCACACAGCTGTACATAATACCATCTTTCAACCTCTAATCCTTCCATCTAGCTATTGCTTTTATTCTATTATATAAAAGTGTGTATTCTAATTTCTACCTCTGTTCTAGCTCTTAGTCAGGCCACCATTATATTAAAAAGCATTTCCTTTCTACCCATCATCTCTTGTCCGTTTTAATACTTCAATTCGTATTAGTTTTTTGGCTTTCCTCCCATACTCCTCTCTTGGATCTTTGTCTCCATCTACATCTACATTTTTACTATGCAGTCTAAATATTTCTGCCATCTGTACCGCCTCCAGAATGTCTGCCCAAGCCCCTATCTCCCTTTCAAAAGCATCTTGCTGCTTATCCAATTCCATTTTTAAATCTCTTAAAATACGTTTCCCTTGATTTATTTCATCAGTCTTTATTGTCTTCTTGCTTTATTTGCTGATTTGTCTGTTTTTCTATGTTTTAAAAGTTTTTACTTTTCTCCCCTTAGTTCCCTTCTTTTGGGTCTGGGATTTTTCTCTGAGTAATTGTTCGCTGCTTTAACTGATAGTTCTAAGAGTCTCTTTTCCTGGATTATTTTTTTTTTTTTTGCTTTCAGGGTTGGGTTCTAGGTAAAAAAGAACTCATCTCACCCAGCTCCAGTCACTGTTCATCTACACTGCTCCTGCACTTTCTTTGTTGCCTTGGCTGTCCCAGCTTCATGGCAGCCATGATGGCTGCCTCTTCTCGTCATGGATGAAAGGGAAGAAAGCCCTGGGTCAAGAGGGAGAGTTGCGACTCTCCACAACCTGCAGGGCGCCCCTCTTTTCTTCGCCACCCCCATAGGGGTGGCTTTAGCTCCTTTAGGAACCCTCCAACAGGGAGAACTCGATGCACGGGAGTGCAGAGACCCACTCTTTGCATCCGATCTCACCGCGACAACAGCCAGAAGTCCTCAATTCAATTTTTTTAAATTAGTTTATCAGAATATAAAATACAAATGAAAATGAAAATGGGAAACTAGGGGAGGGAAAAGGGAAGGAAAAGAACTGACTTCTGACTGTTTTTAGCACAGTAGAAGGTAATAACATTACAGCCTCAGCTTTTTGTTTTTACACAGTTAACATACACTAGATGTGTTATTTTCTTTAAACAAAACAGTCAATGTAACCTCTACTTTTTTTCCTTGTTGTGGGAAGTAATATACTGTATATTTCATTCATATTAACAAAATTCATTACACTCTTTCAAATTCTTTAACCTTAAAGGGGAAAAAAACTTTTTAAACATCTGTTTTAAAACTCTGAACTTTTCTTTAAAAATATTTCTAAAGTTAATTCTAGTACAGTATATTCTCTGAAACTTCCTCTTAACACGCAGTACACACTTTCAAATTCACTTTCAGTAATATTATACAAGTTTTAGTGTTTCTAGCATTATAAAGACACCCCCACTTTTCAAACCCACTTTATAAACACAAAACCATACATTAGCTTTCTTTTTATTACGTCTACAGACTGTTAAAAATCCATCCCAACTGCAATTAGCTCAAGTTTAAGCCACTCCCTCCAAGATTCTCCTCATAAAATAGAATATTTTTCTTTTCTGGAACGT